TGCCTCCCATAAGATCCCCATAGAGAAGCAAATGGAAGTATGAGTTGGGTGAGGAAACAGTGAGGTGGACTGAAAATTGGCTGAATGGCCAGTCCCAGAGGGTGGGATGAAGTCTAGCTGGAGGCCAGAAAACAGTGGTGTACCCCAAGGGTCAATACTGGTTCTGATCCTGTTTAGCATCTTCATTAATCATCTGGATGATAAGGCAAAGAGTTCCCTCAGCAAGTTTGCTGATTACACAAAATTGGGAGGAGTGGCTGGTACACCAGAGGATCGTGCTGCTATCCAAAGCGACCTCAACAGGCTGGAGAATCTGGCTGGCAGGAACCTCATGAAGTTCAACAAGGAGAAGTGAAAAGTCCTGCACCTGGGAAGAAATAACCCCAGGAACCAGTAAATGCTGGGTACCACTTCGCTGGAAAGCAACTTGGCAGAACATGATCTGGGGTCCTTCTGGACACCGAGTTAAACATGAAGCAGCAATGTGCCCTTGAGGCAAAGGATGCTAACGGTACCCTGGGCTGCCTTGGGACAAATGCTGCCAGCAGGCTGAGAGAGGTGATGCTTCTCCTCTACTCAGCACTGGTGAGGCCACAGCTGGAGTGCTGTGTCCAGTTCTGGGCTCCCCAGTACAAGAGAGACAGGGACATACTGGTGAGAGTCCAGGAAAGGGTCACAACAGTGATTAAGGGACTGAAGCATCTCTTCTGTGAGGAAAGGCTGAGAGTGCTGCGACTGTTCAGCCTGGAGAAGAGAAGGCTCAAGGGGGCACCTTGTCAATGTGTATAAACATCTGAATGGAGGGTACAATGAAGATGGAGCCAGGACCTTCTCAGTGATGCCCAGCAACAGGAACAGAGGCAATGGGCCATTTTTTTTCCTCTGAGGGTGACTGAACACTGGCCTAGCTGCCCAGAGAAGCTGCGGAGTCTCCATCCTTGGAGACAGTCAAAAGCCATCTGGACATGGTCCTGGGCTGCTGGCTCAGGGAGCACTGCTTAAGCAGAGGGGTTGGACCAGATGACCTTCAGGGATCCCTTCCAACCTCAACCATCCTGTGATTCTGTGAAAAGGCAGAAAGCAGTGTTCTTGAGAGGGAACATAAGGACCTGTTAATATGCTGATCACAGGAAAAGAGGAGCATGATGAACATTTCAAACTAGGGGACTTCAGGCTGCCAAAGCCTCAGTGCTCAAGGAGTCAGGCCGGTAAGAGCAGTCCAGCCAGAGGTCACAAAGCAGTAGGGGAAAGCAGCAGATGGCCATGGAGGAGCACACACAGACTCATTCCAGGTTACCTGCCATCAAATCACAAACGCTCACATAAGCAGGAGCTCAAATCCTGGCTCAAGGGATAGTTTCTTATGGAAGCAGGCTCACCTATGCATATATCCAACCTTTTTCCACATTTCTCCAAGCTCTCAAGAGCCCAGGGAGACCTCTCTGCCTTCTCCACCTGTCTGTGCCTAAGGATGGCTGGAATCTGGGAGGCAAGATGAAGCTGTCTCTCCACTAGCCAGGTGAACATAGGCATCTTTAGGCTCTCTCTGGGCCCTGCCCAGAGCAGGTTGCTGCTTACATCAGCCAGCCAGTGGTTGCCACAGTAACCACGCTCACGGATGAAGGATGCGAGGTTCCTGGGGTAACCAAACGACTGCCACCCGCCTGGGTGTTGTCTCTATGGCACAGCAGGAAAGGACGATGCAGTTTTCTGAAGGTGAGAAAAAAATATACCCTTAAGCTGGGCTTCTCATCTGCTGCACCCTCCCGTGTGCTGCTGTAGCTCCACTCTCCACAGCCCTGTGCTCCCCAGCAACCACCACACTGCTTCTTTAAACACTCAACCAAAGAAGAAAAACTGCTTTATGTCTTCTTGTCAGAAGAAGCCAGCCTACCCAGGCAGGAGCCATCACTGTTTTCAGTTTCAGCAGCAGATATGCTCTACAGCCCCACCAGACCCATCCCAGAGGGAACCAAGGACCTCATGACCCCATGAAGATCACAGACCCCTTAGTGTCAGTGGCTGAATGGATGTCTGAAGGGCTTGGATGAAGAACTCATTGTCCCTCAGGGCCTCTTCCAGTCTAGCTTTCTAGTAAGATATGCTCACACTCACCTTCATTATGTGCAGGAGCAATAGCAGCAGAGGGAACCCACAAAAAACCAAAGCCTGGCAAACCTGATGGACCCCTACAGTGCTGCTCTTGTTCCCGTTCAAATCAACAGCAGGCCCATGGCTAGAGGCAGCACTTATCCCTCTGCTTCCATTGCTGGGGAAGAGGAAGCATTTGCAGGACACAGGTCACCCCTGCCTAGTGCCCTCAACCACCTGAAGAACCAAGGGAAGGCCAGGTAAAGCCTATTCCCCTTCTGCTCCAAGTCCACCTCAGGGAGAGGTGCACCAGAGCAAAAGAAGTTACATGATCATAAGAGATAGGGATCAGCCATCGCCTCTGCTGAGCTCTCTTTTCAGCAGCGGCCACACAGAAAAGAAAATTTACTCTGCAGGCTGACCAATTGTGATCAAAAGGGCAAACTCCAAAGTCTCTTTGGAGAAGGCCCAAACACAGCCTGCAACGCTTTGATTGGCCACTGGATTCCCTTCGGTTTCCTGGTGTGCCAGCCCAGGGACCACAGCCTCCAACCTCTTGTTCGCTGCTTGGGAGAGCTGGAAAGGACAGAGCAAATGAGGCAGAGAGCGCAAAAATGATTTGGACTCAAAGCACCCTAGAAAAAAAAGGGGGCACCTCTTGGGGATGCTCTTGCTATGCATCATCTCTGTATACACACAAAAAGTACCAAATTAACATGACAGGCAGTCTGCAGAGAGCTCCTTGGATCTTTATTTTGGAGGGCTGTTTCCTAAGTTATTTTGGAGGGGAGTTAAAAAAAAAGACACTCAGCACCTGGAATTATCCTACGGCCTGTAAGTTGCATCTACTTCTGCCATGTGAGCTGACACAGCACTAACTTCAGTGAGATGGGTTATTGAGCTGAACAGCTGGGCTCTCAAGCAGGAGCTGCAACACTTGGTCACCATCAACAGCTGCTAAAGGGGTCTGACAGACAAAGGGAAGAATTTGGCTCTCATATAAAGAAGCGGGGCAAAGTACATGTTATTAATTTCCAACTCATCTTACCCAACTTGTTTTCTCCCTCCTGGCTGGGACCACAGCCAAACCCAGGGAGAGGACACGGGGCACAGCAAGCTACAGCCCGGCGAAGGTCACCTTCAGGGGCATGGTGACACCCACCTCCCCTTCACTCAAAGCTTAGCGTAGTTGAGGAAGGATCACAGCAAAACCTTACCCGGGCAGTTCTCATCCCTCTGCGAGCTACGTTCAGGTGACAGCGATGGCACCTCTGCGCAGGGCCACACAGATTATTGGGGTCCACCTGAGTAGCAGCGGGCAGGCTTCAGGCACAACACAAGAAGTCACTGCTCCCCAGCAAGGAATCTCCCATGGTGTGAAATGCAAAAGCAGCTGGCGAAGGTTGTGTTGCCCACTGCTCCAATTCACCTGGCTGGACCCCGCACCCTGCACCATCACCCCACCAGTCACCTCCACCCCAGTGCTGAGGCCCCAGTAAGAGACAGCTGCAAACAGCAGCCCAAAGACACCATCCACAAGATATTGTTCACCCCTCTCTGGTCTACTCAGCAGCACCCCCTTGAGTGAGGAAAGCTCTTGCCATGTCCTCATCTTGGAGGACTCAGATACCCAGGCCATTTTCATCTTGATGGGACCACAAGCAAAAAAAAAAAAAAGGCGGCCATTTCCAGCCTATGCTCACACTTTATTATATACAGAGACATGGTGAGTGTAAGAACATCAACATGGGACACAGACAGTAAGGGAGGCCCAAAGGCACTGTCTCCTGTCCCCTTGGTGCAACCAGTCAGCATAGTTTATACAAATAATACAATATCTGAACAATAAATAAGTTTGATAAATAAGATCAAGAAATTAAAAAAAAAAAAACAAATGTAGAAAGACAAAGCAGCAAGGAATGATTTTGAGGACTGTGACACATTCACAGCAGTGACAACCACTGCCATCTCACCCGCACACCAGCAGCTGCAGCCCAGACCCCCATCAGCCCTTTTCTCTCACTGTACTATGCCGAAATCCAATTGAGGTGGGGGAACCGAGGAGAGCCACACAGTTCACTACTGCTGTGCTATCGTGGCCTAGGAGCCCCCTCTTCTTCACAAGCCCCTTCGGAAAAGGTGCTGGAAAACAAGGTACAACCGCAGACCCATTGTGTACAGTCACAGCTTGTCTGTTTGGCACAAAAGAACCCCCTCAAAAAGTCTCTTCCCTTTCTATAGTCCTTCAGGTGGATACTGGCACAGTTATTGACTGAGTCAGGGCAGGGGGTGGTGGGGAAACACTTTGAAGGTATGGGGGGAGAGAAGAGATGAGGCAATGCTCCCTTTCACTCATGGGAGGCAGAGATGCTCTCGTGCATCGCCCCAGAGCTCCGGTATGCTCCTTCCACATGCCCTGGCACTGATGGAAACTGGGTGGGTGACAACACCACAGTCCCCTGGCAAGGAGGGGGTTACCACAAGGACTGCAGGGACACAGCTCACAGGTCGAGAATTACGTGAGCGAAGGGACAGCAGTAAAAGGCCGCCACTGGTTATCTAAGAGAAAAATAATAATAAGACAGCTGGTCCCTAACCCCTGCAGGGGTAGAGGCAACACAGACACACTGATTAGACTTCCCCTGTCAGCCTCAAGGCCTCTATCTCTCTCCGAGATGCTGGCATATGAGGGAGAGAAGGACTCTGTCCATCATGGATAGCTCTCAGCAGAAAGGAGACAACTTGAACTTTGCTCCCTCCTGCCAACCCCCCCCAGTTTGCCCCCGAAGAAGGGTGTTGGAATGTGTAGAAACCAGGAACTGTGGTGACAGGGCAGTGAGAGAGAAATGGGAACAGATGGAGATCTGGGATGGGGAACCTGACCCCTCTGCCCTCACACATACGGACTGCTACTCATCCAGGCCCGGTATCAAGTCTGCAATGCTGTCCACATAGTAATTGGGCACCAGATCCTTGGCAGCGGCGCTGTCGCTGGCCATGTAGGCCTGCGCTTCTTCCAGGCGAGAGACACCCGTCAGGGTGAGGATGGTAGAGAGGCCGCAGTTCTTGCCGAAGAGGATATCTGTCTCCAGACGGTCTCCCACCATGAGGGTGCGGGACGGGTCAACGCCGAAACGCTCCACGATGCAATCAAACATGTACGTGTTCGGTTTCCCCACCACCAGTGCCTTGCGGCCCGAAGCGGTTTCCACTGCAGCTGTGAGGCTGCCAGTCCCTGGATTGGGGAAAAAGGAGAAAATTAACCAGCTGTGGGATAACCAAGTGCTGACTGGGTCCCACCAGAGGATAAGCAAGTGAAGTGCTGGCAACCTGACGCCAGGAGCTGGTTGCCCACCTTGATGTTCAGGGAAACGTCCTGCCCGGGCCAAGGACAGCAAATCTCAACGGAGGGCAAGCCCACCACCCCCCGCACCCCCCAGGGCAGCAGGAGAGGGGAGCAGGGGGCTCACCGGGGGTGCGTTGGCCGTCGCT